GGCCATTTTCAAAATCAATTGTGTCAGTTACCTATGATATCTAAAATAAATTATTCATTCCAACCCATAATTATACTTGAAGAAAAAAAATAATTCATGAAAGAACCAGCAATATCTGTATAAGAACCATACATGGGGACATTTGTTCCTGGGTCATTTAAATAATTTACTTTGAAAAGGTTGTAACTTTATTCATAGGCAAGGACTTTTTCGTACAAATTATTTTTAAAATTTTAGTGGCAGGTTTGGACTAAAATGCTCCAATAAGAAGTTGTATATGATACCTTTAAGTAAATCAGAGGAAAACAAAGCTGTTCTTGTTGAACCTGCGTTAAGTGGCACATGGTTCTGACTAGGTACTGCTGCCTTTGACAAATTTCTGCTGAACCCCGGGACTCAGAGGAGCAGAGTTAGAAAACCGGAATAGATCTATACCATTATTATTTAGTGCTTTTAAAATCTGTCCACACTTTCTGACAAAATGGTGCAATGGGTTCATGCTTTGACACATTCCCTCTGCTCCAGACACTTCACAATGCTGGATAGTGGAGCTATCCCGTTAAACACTCTGAGAAACAAGATGAACATCATCACTGGCACAAACCAAAACCAGAGTAGAACCAGAAAAGGGATCAGGCCTGCAGCCCAGGCTTTTTGTCTTCCAGTAATTATACTGGTCCTGAATAATTCAGGACGTGAATTATTCCAGGTCCTGAAGCAAGCAGGAAAACAGAGAGGAACCATATTTCACACTTGATAACAGCTGACATGAGAAGTTCCCATTCAGCTCTAACTTATAAAACCGATTCCAACCATAGCCTCTTCTTTCTAGGAAGTTGTAATCCTAAAGAAAGGCAGAAAATAATACAATTTCAGAACTGAAGACTGAGCTCCCTACTAGACAAAGCAGACATAATTAAATTAATCAAGTTGCATACAAGAGAGGTAAAGTGCTTTGCAAGTCTAGATAGCCATTGAACAGTCATCAGTGCCCTTGATGGGCATCAGTAAGGACACTTTTCTGAAACAACCAAAGGCTTAAGAGCAATAGCATCTCCATGCTATTAAAATGTTTGCCTCTTGAAGTCAGATCGAAGTCTACTTGCATTTCATGTAATGAATTTGATGACTTGCGTAATACTCCATAATGTATGTATTGGTCAGCACAGGCTGCCATAAGAAAATAGTATACACTGGGTAGCTAAAACAACAGGAATCTATTTTCTCACACTTCTGGGAGCTAAAAATCCCAGATCAACATGTAGGCAGACTTTGTGTCTCCTGAGGCCTCTCTCCTTGACTTGCAGATGGCCACCTTCTTGCTGTGTCCTCACATAGCCTTTCCTCTATGCAAGTGCATTGCTTATGTCTCTTTTTTCTTATAACCTTTGTTACCTTCTTAAACCTCCTTTCTGTAAATACAGTCCTATTGCTGGTTAAGGTTTCAAGATGTAAACGTTGAGGTGAGGACACAATTCAGCCATTAAGCGAATTGAATCTACAGGCAAACGTTTTTTGTTTTTTTTTGTTTTTTCCTCAGAAATGTTTAAGTTAATGCATTTGAAATTTTTTTTTCAAAAAGAACTGTCTTCTAAAATATCAGACTAGAAAAAAATCAAGAGTAATATGATAAACTGTCTTATAATTTTGTTGTGAGAATTCATTGGGACATACACGCACACACACACACACACATACACACACACACACACACACACACACACACACACACACACACACGCTTGCATCCATGATTGTTATTCTTTTTTTGCAGCCAACAAGAGCTGTTCTAATGGAGCTCTGGTCTGTGCCTCCTCTAACAGCTGTATCCCAGCCCACCAGCGCTGTGATGGTTTTGCCAACTGCATGGATTTTCAGCTCGATGAGTCCAGCTGCTCAGGTACCCCATTTCCATTCAAATATTCTTGTGATACAAACAAGCAATTTAACCTTCACACAATGAAAATATTAAAACTTCAGATTCTAAATAATGGCGAGCATGGAATAATTGGATTTCTAATATTGGTTTTGGGGCAGAAAGAATGTTGACATTAATTGCTACATGTCTAAAAAATTATAAACATATAATGGGCTCATGCTAGTTCTATGTAATGTTTGATAAGAAAAGAAAAATCAAATGTATAATTTTAACACAATGTAACTTAAGATTATTAGTATTTAATAATCTTTCCTATGAAAATTGCTTGGTTTCTATAATAAGGAAACCCTATACAATCTAGTGCTATTAATTTTTTTATCGTTGCCTTCTTTTTCCCACTTTATAAGAGTTTCCTATTTGCATGATTTAGTTACGTATTTAAAAGTAAATTTATTAAATTTTAGTTTGACGTCTAAACATTTTTCTTTCTTCTGACCTTGGAACATTTACACAATGTAAGAACTGACTGTATATATCTGTGATTATACTTTTATCAAAACTGCTTTAAAATTTCCTAATTTATTGTAACCCTTTGTTAACATCTCTCCTGAGTAAATGAACTTTTTTTTCATATAGGTGATATATGAAATTATAGACCATTAAAGTTAATATAATTTTGTCATAACTAAAGGATAATATAAATTAATGATAGTGATATATTTAGTGAGATTTCCTGAATAAGTTGGAAATATCTTATATCAAAACTAGTTAAGAAAGTACCCTTTGTATCCTTCAAGAAAGGAGAACATTATGAGATATGTGCTTAGAAGCATGATAATTGTAATCAAATCACAGTGTGAAAAAGTCTTATTCTTTATACTGCTGGAAGTGAGTACTCACACAGCGCTGCATTTTATGAGTACAAAAGCAAATAAAAAAGTGACCACATCTGGCCCCATAAAATATGCAAAGATGAATACTCTTTGTCATTATTTCTGCACTTGGAATGGATGTACTTCAGATGAAATACCAAGAGATACCAAAAGAGAAATGGTATTATTTTCTTTACAGAGAGTAAGAAAGCCATTACTGAATATCTCCATTCTTTGAAACTATTAAGACACAGTATTTATGCTAGACCCAAACTTATTTACATAAAAGCAAGATTATCTTCAGCATGGTGCTAAATAGCACAAACACAATATGTTATGATTTGTTATCTTCTTTGATACAGTCTACTTTAAAGAACAGGATCCAAAAAACAGAAGACTTGTCATTCATACCCAGTGATAGACAATCTGTAGGTAGTAGTATAGAACACGTTTTTGTTGTCTGTCTCTTTTCCTCACTCACCAGTCATGTTTATAGTTCACTTACAAAGTATAGGTCATGTTGACACATCTATTGGGTTACAGTAAAATAAAGAACTAGTGAAACTCAGTTTTCAGAAATAAAATCCCTATTGTATTATGTTTTGTCTGTTTATATGTTGTATGCTTTTTTGGCTTGTCAGTCAAATATAATAAAGTCAAGCTTCTGTTTTTAAGATATCTTCAAGATGGACCCACACTAAGGATTTGTCAGTGTACATTACACATTACTCTTTCTTTCCAACCATATATTCTTTTAAGATCAGCATTTAATAGGCTTTCGTGAACCCAATCCTTACAACATCCAGTAATTTCCATAGTGATCTCATCATGCTGAGAATCTGGCCTCACCTACCTTGAGGTTTAAGTCATATACAAGAACATTATGCTCGGGCACTGTATACATGTTGCAGGCTACATATATTTCAATGAATCCTGTTCATGCCTAACTCATATTATAAAAGTGTACTATTTTCAAGTTTTGGTTGCTTATGCAACTAGAAATTATTGGCCAGAATTTGTCTGGCTCAATCTAAACTGAAAGTGTTTTTCTAGTCATTTGCAGTAGTAGAGGTTAATAAAGCTTATACTAAGGTGAAACTATAACTATGATAATCATTCATTTGAAGGAGAATTAGGAAGGGAAACTAACAATGTAAAATTGTAGGATGAGACTTTATAAATATAATACTATGTGTAATAAATACTGATGATGGTGGTGATGATGATGATGATGCAGCTTAATAAAGTTTCAGAAATATTTAAAAACCAAACCTACACAAACACAAATGCTTCCCAGGCAAATACTATGGAGCCACTTCAAGTTTGTTTTTTATTATTAGTTTTTAATTGACACATTATAATTGTACATATTTATGGGGTATAACTTGATGTTTCAGTGCATATGGTGTGTTGTATCATGATCAAATCAGGGTAGTTAGCTTACCCATCAGCTCATGCATTAATTATTTCTTTGTAGTAAGAACGTTCAAGAGCCTCTCTTCTAACCATTCTGTAATATACCATATCTTACTATTCATCCATTACCCTGCTGTGCAATAGAACGCCGAAACTTATTCCTTCTCTCTAACTGTAACTTTGTACCCATAGAACAATGTCTGCCTGTCCTTTTCCTCCCCTTTCCAGCCATTGGTAAGCACTGTTCTAGTCTCTGCTTCTATGATATCAACTTTTGAGGTTTGATAGTTTTTCCTGCAGTCCCTGTGCCAGGATTTCAAGGTAAAGAGAATAATCTCCTCCCTCTGGGACTTGGTTTGCTGCACAAAATCTTTAGGTGGATTCCTAGGGTCTATATATTTCTTCGAACCATGTGCAGATAATTGTGTATATGCATATTTATCTGGCACTGTACATAAATGCCACATGATTCAAAGGGGTTTGTATGCCCACAACATCAAAACCTGTAAGCAGTTGTAGAAATTCTAAGCTAAATAGCTAATCATTTGACATTTTTACTCTAACATGCTTTGAAGTCAGAAGACCAGGGTTTAGTTCTAATTAAAATGCTTCTTTGCTGTTAACTCAAGTAAGTTATATTAACCACTGGAGGCCTCACTTTTCTCCTCTGCAAAATGAGAATAATTATGGTACAAGACACAGTGTTATGAGGACTAACTGAGATAACACATGTAAAACTCTTAGGTCAGTCCCTGACACGTAGCAGGCCTTGTGTAAATGGTAGTGGTGACGGTGATGGTGATTATAACCACAAAGGAATGAAAAGAAGAGAGGAAGAAGATGGATAGAGCAATGTCAAGGAAACTAGGCTTCACAGGCAGTGCAAAGACTCCCCCCAATACAGAGAGATGATTGACAACAATTATTAAATACTTTATACACACCATTCACTAATATAAAAATGCTAACAAACAAATTTAATTTCACCTTCCTAGCAGTCCTATAAGGAAGTGATATCATATGTATTTCTACATGAAGAATCTTAGAGTACCTAGCCCAAAGTCCCATAACGCTTAAATGACTGAGCCAGGTATCATGAGGGAAAACCAGGATTCATGTGGTTATCAGTCTTCCCAGCACACTAGTACATAGCACCTGCCACTTCCCTAGTCTCTATGTACGTTAAAGGGGGAAAATAAGTGTTTACTTGCAAATTACTTAAGATTAAAAGTTGCTATCGTTTTTATATATGTGTTCCTGCTTTTCCAATGAGATACATCAGAATGGGATTCAATGTGAAACTCTCAGAATGATATTTCTGTGCAACCAATTGTGAGCTGTATTGGTTTCTAGACACATACTCATAATAACCAATACAAAGGGATACAAGCCAGAGAGAGACAGCTGTGGCTAAAGAATGGGAACCTCTGCTAATAGTAATATTGCCCCATAGATTTCCAGTTCCCATAATGGGAATTATATCTGCTTATCTCCTGGAAATACTCAGCCTCTTCATGGCTAATTAGCCATATCCATCTCCTTCCCCATTTCATTTGCTCTCTGCTTAAAATTGTTTTGAGTAAATTAAAGCTGAAACTACTTTGTGCTGTATCTTTCTGTATTATGGATAAAGAACCTGGGTCTAAGGCAGAAAACGATAAAAACTTTTCACAGAAATAAACTGTGAGTTTTCCGCCCTGCAAAACACCAGGACTCACATCTGGTTCCAGTGAACATCTGTGTTCCTTGCACTGTGCTCCACTAAACAGCACAAAAATGCACATTTAGATTCCCACAGAATCATTCTGATGTAAAGCAAGCTTATGTTTCATTTTCTGTAATATATTAAATATGAATGACCCACCCAAAAATAGGCAGCTCTGCCATACTGTTAGTTTTCTGATCTTCTGCAGTCTCAGACACTCTTCTCATTTTTCAATGAAACAAAATCCATATTTGAGGAAGAATGAAATTATACTTAAGACAAAAAATGACCATAAAACAGTTTATCTAACCAGGTTTATACCGATTTAAGCTTTATCATATTGGTGGCTATTTTTCAGTCAAACCAGCAGATTTCCTCTTTATAAAGGAGATTTCATGTCTGTTCTGTTCAGTGGAGCATGGCCCCCAGGTCTGAGGGGGGAGCTCCTTACCCTCATCTTTAGCACTCCACTCCTCTGTTTTATGTAATTAGTTAAACAAGGAGTACTAAGGGAGGGCAAGGTGGGAAATATATCCCTGGGAAACCAAATTGCTGATTTCTTTTTGAAACCAAATATGATGCCAGACACAAGATGTATTTCATTTTTGATCCTAAACTGCAAATTCCCTCCTTCCTTGCTTTCCTTTTTCTTAAAGCCTGCCATCCCTTCTCCAGTGTGCAATGACTACCTTTATTAGCCCATTCTCACGCTGCTATAAAGATATACCTGAGACTGAGTAGTTTATAAAGAAAAGAGTTTTAATGGGCTCATTGCAGGTTGTACAGGATTCTGCTTCTAGGATAGCTTCAGGAAGCTTACAATCATGATCAAAGGCAAAGGCAAAGCAAACATATATTCATGTGTCTGGCAGGAGAGAGAGAGAGAGAAGGGGGCAGTGCTAGACATTTTCAAACAACCAGATATCAGGAGAACTCTATCATGGGACAGCACTAAGGGGATGGTGATAAACCATTAGAAACCACTCTCATGATCCAGTCACCTCTCACTAGGCCCGACCTCCAACACTGGGGATCACAGTTTGACAAGAGATTTAGATGGGGACACAGAGCCAAAACTTATCACTGCTTAACAATCTACTCTCTGAAGCCACCCTTTCCTTGTATGTTTTACTTCTATACGTATTGTGTACATAAAATTTCTAGTTCTCTATTTTTTCACTATCTATCATGGTTATCATCATTTCTCTGTTCTAGTAAATGGTTTCTCTCTCTCTCTCTCTTTCTCTCTCTCTGCTAAGATTGGGCTTGTCAAAAACAAGGAGCATATCTACATGACCGTATAATACCAGAAACAGTGATCTCAAAATGACTTGAGGAAAAATCCTGAAAAGTGATGCTGTCTAAAAAGAAGAGAAAAAAAAATCTGAAGAAAAGCCTCAAATCTGTATCTCTGCTTCATATTAAATAGTTCATCTGAGGCTCAGACCTACAAATTCCAATGCCCATGGGTGAGGTCACTTCCATTGGATGCCCCTTATGCACTTAAAACCTAACCTCATCTTTTCCTTTAAATATCTTCGTTCCCCATAAATCCCCTTCAGTGAATGAAACCACCAACTAGCTAATGACCCAGCAAGAAATGTAGACATTATTCTTGACTCTCTCCAAATAGTCTCCAAGATGTTTCAATCCTAATATTTAATTATCTCTTAAAAATACAACAACTTTCTACCCCCAAGCTCACCCTACTCCTTTAATTCAGACAATCATAATATTTTTGCTAGTTTATTACAAAATACTCTTAACGGGGCTCCCAAATTTCAGTCTTGGTCTTTCTGTTGAGTTGACAACACTGCAGCCAGAATTCTAATGCATGAAACATGGCACTTGCCTTCTTAAAATCTTGGCTCTGCTGGGCTGATGTGGTCCGGGAACTGTGTATCTTTGACTTTTACCTACACTATCTTTGTATTATGAGCAATTCAATCAGGCTGGGCTGTCTTCAGTTTCCCAAACATGCAACACCCTCTTCTCTGACCTCTGGGTCTTTATGCTCACCTTTACACACACATGCACACTACTGCCCAAATAAATAGCTACGGATTCTCTCTGGAAAGCTTTTCTTACTCTCCATATGTGACCAAAGTGCTCCTCTTGGTGCTTCCATCACCCTTAGAACATCCCTCCCAATATATTACTTTCATTTGAGATTTTAATGCCACACTCACACTTTGCTTTTCATCTGGAAGGACAGGAGGAGTAGGGACCATGGCTGTATCTCTTTTTAAAGTCAACTTTTATTAAATTCATACTAACTGGTTGTTCTAACATGCTCACAACCCTATGAGATAGTTATTATTTGTTAACCTTGTTTACAGAAAGCAAACAGAAGCACAGAGAGATTAACTACTTTACCCAGTACTCCTCAGCTAATAAATTGAGCTGAGATTCCAGCTTCAGCAGTTGGGCTCCTGTGCCCTCAGTCTTAACAACTAAACTAAGCTGACTGTATTATTATTTTATTTCCAGTGCCCAGCCCAATGCCAGACATTTAATATGTGCCCAGAACAGATTTGTTCAATTAAAATTAAAGATAGAGGAAATTATAATCCAGTGTTGCAGTTAAAGTAAACCAACAAGGGAGGACTTGTATTCTGCAAGAAAGGTGTTGAGTTATACCCCATTAATATGTACAATTACAATATGTCAAGTAAAAACAAAAAACCTGGGAGCAACTTGGGTCTTAACTAAATAGGGGAATTGACAGGCTTTAGTGGGTCAAGATGTGTCATAAGGGTATAAAGAGGCAGTTCATATGAACACAACCTCAGGGGCTAAATGGGCTAACCACTCTCACAATAGTTACTCTGTGAAGATATTTAGCTTCTTTTTAACCTATAAGTACACTACCATTGAAAATAAATGTTCTTTTTAAACTAGAACTAGGGAGTGACACAAGCAATAAAATCGGAGGACAAGGGACAAATCTGAGTTATGCTGAAATTGATCACTGATGCAGAGGTGGGACATCTACATGCTGATAAATGAGTGACTTATCACAAAGACATTTGTCTGTCATGACATAGGGACTGTTGTGTAGAACTAGAGAAATGTTTCAGTAAACAAAACACTTTATTATCATCATAAGTGTGTCATGCAGACACGTTCTAAATAAGTAGATGATACCCAATCTATGGGAGAAGTTCTAGTGTTCTAAAGCACTGTGGGTTGACTACAGTTAACAATAATATATCGTATAGTTTTAAACAGTTCCATGGAGGATATCTAATGTTCTCAACACAATAAATGATAAATTTCTGAGATCATAGATTTTCTGATTGCCCGGATCTGGTCACTATACAAAGTTTTATATATATATATATATATATATATATATATATATATAAATAAAACTTTGTAATCCATAAATATGAAAAATTATTATATGTCAATTGAAAAAAAAAGAGGTCAGATGTGGTAGTTCAGACCTGTAATCCTAGCATTTTTGAAAGTAAAGGTGGGAGGATTGTTTGAGGATAAGAGTTTAAGACCACATTGGGAAACAATGGCAAGATCCCACCATTACAAAAACTTTTTAAATTAGGCAAGCATAGTGGTGTGCACCTGTGGTCCCAGCTATTCAAGGCTGAGGCGGGAGGCTTGGTTGAGCCCAGGAGATTGAAGCTGTAGTGAGCTGTGTTTATGCCATTGTGCTCCATCCTGAATGACAGAGTAAGACCCTGCCTCAAAAAATAAATAAATAAAAATAAAAAAAGAGAGAGGGAGAGGAGGAGGAAGAAAAGCAAAAACGGTAGAAGAAGCAGAAGCAGAAGAAGCAGACGAAGAAGCAGAAGAAGCAGACGAAGAAGCAGAAGAAGCTGACGAAGAAGCAGAAGAAGCAGACGAAGAAGCAGAAGAAGAAGCAGAAGCAGAAGAAGCAGAAAGAAGCAGGAAGAAGCAGAAGCAGAAGAAGCAGAAGAAGCAGAAAGAAGCAGGAAGAAGCAGAAGCAGAAGCAGAAGAAGCAGAAGCAGAAGCAGCAGAAGAAGCAGCAGAAGAAGAAGAAAGAAGAAGAAGAAGGAGGAGGAGAGGAGGTGGAAGAAGAAGAAGAAGAAAGAAGAGGAAGAAGAAGAAGGGGAAGAAGAAGAAGAGGAGGAGGAGGAGGAAGAAAGAGAAGGAAAAAATAGCAAAAAAACCCAAACAAGTAAATAATTATTTTAAGTCTTCTCTTCTTGTGGATCATTCAGGCATGAACACATTCAGGGCAGCAGGGGCTGATGAACAAATTTGGAGGGAGTACAGGAAAGTGGCCTACGGAAATTCTTTTACTTTTTGCAACTGGAAAGCCATTTACTCTCAGAGATTAGATTTAATGTAATGAAAAATAGTGTTGTCTTCTCCTTCCTCCTAATACTATATATAATTAACTGACATCTTTGTGATGCTTCTTTTTAGAATGTCCATTAAATTACTGCAGAAATGGTGGGATTTGTGTAGTGGAGAAGAATGGTCCTATGTGTCGGTAAGGAGCATTGTTTAATTTTTTTTTTAACATTTGTTGAAACTTGCTTACTTATTTTTCTTTAGGCTGATATGATAGAGCATCAATCAGTTTGTGGTTAGTAAGGTAAAATAGTGGATAATGGCACTATTTACATTTATTTTCCTGAATAAGGTATAGGAATATGTGAGTGCATTTCAGAGAAATATCTGTTATTTATTATGATTGTGTATATTTTTCAACATTTTATATGTGGAATATATCACTTTGATAATATTCACTTTTCCTTGTACTTAATACTTACATTAGATTTTTAAAAGATTTTTTTCTTATATGAATATCTTTCTATTTCAGATCAGCCTTGTGGCTGCATTTTCTCTCTTTATTTCAATGTTTATATTTCTCTTTAACAACAAAGGATGAAATTAATTTATAAATAAGACCGTTTGCTGGTGTATGCAGTGGGTATTTATAAGTAAAGTTAAGGTATAGATAAGAAATACATTTGCATACTCAAAGTAAGAGTAAACAAAAATAGGCCTTGTGATTTCTCAGGGGAAATATTTATATTGCATATCAAAGATGGCTTGATTTCTTCTCTCACCCTTTAGGGAATTGTGCAAAACAATTTCATAAACTCCAAAGGAAATGATGCATATTTCATTATATTTGTGTTTATGACTTTATAATCTAGTATACCAATGGATATATCACTTTCCTTATTAGAAAACTCATTGAAGGTTGCTACTCAAGTCATTATGAGACGCACAAAGGTATCTGGGAAACAATAATTAATAGTTGTTTGAGTCCTTATTTCTTTAGGAATCAATACACATAACATAGAAAAGTAGTTTATTCCTAAAAACAAAAACATCTACCAAATAAAACAATCACAAAAATTTTATGATGACTGTATTTAGATACTGTTTTAGTTTAACATTGTTGAAATGTAATTACTAATGAATTTCTTGGAAGGGTTTTCTCTTTCAATGCTTTACATCATTTATTTCTCAACATGTCAACAGAATTATACTTTTCCCCATATCAGTTTCCATGGAAATTAATTTATCACAAACTATTACTTGATGGAAAGACAGGATATATAATATTAATTTCTAAAATCTCCTGAAAGAAGTTGAGAATGATGCTGTAAATAATGTTTATTAAATGTCAGCTGAGTGGATAATATTATTTAATATCAATTGCTTACGGTAAAGAGGTTTGATTTTTGTCCTCTTCAACTCTAATAGGCCAGAAAACTCCCAGAAAGAGCAAGAAAAGAGCTTTACATTCTTGGCAACATCCTCATGGTCTCAATTAAACTTTAAAAATTAAAATCCAAATGCTGAAGTCCTAAACTTGTTTCTCTCAAGTGGGACACCTCTAAGGTGAGGGAGATGAGACAGAATTGAGAGAAGAAAGGAGGTCAATGGAAAAGAATATAGAAAGGAATTCACTACTAAGAAAGTCAATCAGATGTTCTAAAGGATTATTTTTAATAGCAAATAATACTTTACCAATAGTGAAATAACTATAATGAACATCAATGCAAACAAATATTGGAATTACTGCTGCCTAGAATGTAGGTATGAAAAAAATGACTTTTGAAACTTTTTCCATATTGTAATATATTAGCCATTTCATTCATATTTTTCTTTCTTTAAAATTATGAACTAAAAAAGGAATATATGTGGGTTGTCATAAATCTTTTTAAAATATACGGTAGTATATCAGGCAAAAAGTAGAACTCATGTGTAGGTTTTGTAGGTTTGTTACAGAAGTAAATTCATCATGGGGGATTTTGAACACCCAAGTACTAAGCCTAGTACTCATTTTTTGTTTTGCCTGACCCTCTGTTTTCTCCCACCCTCCATGATTCAATAGGCCTCAGTGTCTGTTGTTCTCTGTGTATCTATGTGTTCTCATCATGTAGCTCACACTTACAAGTGAGAACATGCGGTATTTGCTTTTCTGTTCCTGCGTTAGTTTGCTGAAGATAATGGCCTGTGGCTCCATCCATGTTCCTGCAAAGGATGTGATCTCATTCTTTATAAGACTGCATAGTATTCCATGCTGTATATGCGCCACATTTCCTTTAGCTAGTCTACCTTTGATGGACGTTTAGATTGATTCCATGTCTTTGGTATTGTGAGCAGTGCTGTAATGAACATACATGTGCAGATGCCTTTATGATAGAAAAATTTATATTCCTTTAGATATATATCCAGTAATGGAATTGCTAGTGCTGCAGTGAACATACATGTGCAGGTGGTTTTATGCTAGAAAAATTTATATTCCTTTAGGTATATATCTAGTAATGGGATTGCTGGGTCCAATGGTAGTTATGTTTTTAGCTCTTTGGGGAATCACCACACTGCTTTGACAGTGATTGAACTAATTTACACTTTCACCATCAGTATATAAGTGTTCCTTTTTCTCCGCAACCTTGCCAGCATCTGATATTTTTTGCCTTTTACATAATAGCCATTCTGACTGGTGTGAGATGGTATGTAATTGTGATTTTGATTTACATTTCTCTAATGATCAGTGATATTGGGCTTTTCTTCATATGCTTATTGGCCGCATGTATGTTTTCTTTTGAAAATGATCTGTTCATGTCCTTTGCCCACTTTTTAATGGGGTTTTTTTCTTTTTGTAAATTTGAAATCCCTTATATTAAAAAGGCGCTTTAACCTGGAACTTAAAAGGCAATAAAGTTATAATCTTTACTTTTCACTTTTTCATCTTGGAAGTGTTTAGTGTAAAATTTTGAAGACCATGGTCCAAGAAAATAAAGGCCATGTTTTTAATACCTTTTCATGACCAGTCCCTAATATATACGTGGCATAACAAGAGTTATTTGAATAATATGGCGACAAAAGAAATGATGAATGAATGTAAAGGAAAAGTCCTATAATTTCAAAGAAAAGCATCAATACGCTGAAATATATTCTTGAAATGTATTGAAATATGAGAAAATGACCTCATCATAGCCTGAAGTACCATTCAAAAAAGAATTAGTGGGGATTTTCTATGTATGCAACGAGAAGTATTGAGTGAGCATATGATATGTTCATCATAGTAAAGAGTAATTACTCTCCAGTTTATAGGTCAGAGCAACTACCAAGAAAAAAAGTAATCTATTAGAGAAATTCCATTTTATTACAATGACAGAAGAGGGTGCTCTTAAATTAGAAATCTTGTAAACTATCTCAAATTCCATAAAATGAAGAGACAAATGAAATTTTCCTTCACATAAAGCCTTTGTTAAAAATAGAGTTCAGTTAGAACACTTCCTCTCCCCACCCAAAAAACAACAAAGAAACATGGTGTAAAAAACGAAATACTATAAGACCCTGAACTCCAATTCAAAGCTAAATTAATTGTTTCTTTAAAAACTATATAATTGGGAATATTTCAAAACAAACACATGCAACACTTCAATTTAAAAAATTTTAAAGTCTAAATATAAAAATGGGCAGTAAAACAGTAAGAATCAGTTGAGCCCAAGGAAATGAATTGGCTGAATTCACTGAATTAATTGAACCTAGGGAAAAAAAATATTGACAGAGTAAAGATTAAATTAAGGTTTTTAAGGGATGATACGTTCAAATGTAAATATATTAAGATATTTTTAACAAAGGTGGAAAAAATAACTTAGGAAATGGAAATGAGATAAAGTAAGAAGAATCAAAGAAAAAGTAGTTAAAGTGGAAGAAAAAGAGCATGCCTATGATTGGAGTGCCTAAAGAGGAAAATAAAATAGTAAAGCAGAACCACCATTTAAACTATAATTTAAGTGAACTTTTTCAAAAATGAGAAGAGACCTGAATTGACATATTGAAAAAGTCAGCAAGTACCTGAAAAATTTAACATGAAACCAAAAACTCCAATGCATGTCCTGGTAAAAACATTAAACTTTAAGATACAGAAAAAAATCTTCATGGCCTCTAGGAAGAGAACCAAATAACACAAGAGGACAATGAATTTGGATTGTATTAGACCTCTGATTGTTTCCAGAGTTGTGAAAAATTCTTTGAAAAAATGTAATATCCATTCTTTATATTTTAAAAAGAGGCACTATGGAAAATGTAAATTTATGGATATTTTTTGAAATATGGTAAACTCTATATTCCCTATTCCTAAATGTAGCATTTTCCTTAAGAGAAAACCATAAAAAGCACTTCCATCAAAATTAGAAACAAAGCAAGTATAACCACTAGTTTCACTGATATTTCACATTGTACTGGAGGTAGTCACCAATATGAAAACAAGTCATTAAGAATTAGAAAAGAAGTTAAGTTGTCATGATGGCATACCTGGAAAACCCTAGAGAATTGATAAAAGTTAATTAAAACAATAAAATCAATTTAGTAAGTAAGTTTGGAGGCTATAAAATTAGTATTCTTAGATTAATAGTATACATACATAGACGAAACTATTAAAAGGAAAAAATGAAAAATAAAGCTATGCACATTGACAACAAAAAGGTAAAATATTTAGAAATACATTTAATAAAATAAAACCAAATATATATAATAAAAACAACCTTGAAGAACTTAAACAAGTGGAAAAACATTTTCTTTCCTGGAGAGCTGACTCAACATCATAAAGATGTTATTTCTCCCTAGGTAATTCTATAAGTTTAACACAGTCTCAGCAAAAAGATCTACAATCTCTTCATAGGGGTAAACAATTAGATATTACATTCATATGGAAAAATAAGTGGAGCAATAGCTAGTAAAACACTGAGTAAAAAAATTAAGCTATGAGAATCTGAGTAGCCTACCAGTATAAATAGAATAAAGCTTTTATTAGTAAACAGTGTTATGCAGGTATTTGAATAGACAGTTCGACATTTCAGACTAGCAGAATAGAGTAGAAAGTTAAAAAATGTATCCAAGTACGTATGAAAACTTAGTAAATGATAAAGGTGGCATCTTGATTTGCTGGACAAAGATGAACTTTTAAAAGGGAGTGTTGGAACAACTAGTTAAGAATTTGGAAAAAGTTAAACTTAG